AAATGTTTGTGGTGCAAAAATTTTCATTTCCCACATAGTTCGTTGGCGATATGAATATATTGGGTAGTCAAAAAAGACTTTTCGTATTTTTAATTAAACTTGAGCTAATTTTTTTTATATATACACTAATACTAATACTAATACTAATACATACATAAATAGAGGGTGGATTCATGTGTAGAAGTTCACGCAAGTAAGGAAAGAGAAGGACGATGTGACCGAAGATGTCTTCTATGAGCACTTGGAGTGCACCTATGAGTGCTGCCGCAACACGATATCAAAATTAGGTTTGGTTAGTTTAACGAAAGAGTGGCCAAGGCATAATACTCGGGAAATTCAAATGGGTTGAGGCTGATCCACTTCGCTGGGGCCCGAAATATGGTTATCTGTAGTACTAAATTCCAGCACAAGAAAATTCATCAAGTCCCCTGGCTGTCTCCGGATCGAAAACCCACCAACCAGATCACTCATTTTGTGATAGGCGGAAGACACATCTCCCGTGTTTTAGATGTGCGTATGCTCCGTAACATTGACTCGGACCATTATATTGTTGCAGCCAAGATTCGCACCCGCCTCTGTGCAGCAAAAAACGCACCTAAAATTACACAAGGAAGGTTCGACGTCGAGAAGCTGCAATCACAACAGACAGCCGAACGATCTTGTTGCACTCTTGCTTCTGAGAGCACTCATCAGCAATTCGATATAAGGGAACTGTGGGGCAGCATTTCAAGCTCTTTACGTCCAGCTATATACGAAAGCATTGGTTTTCAGAAAATGCAAAAGGATAGCTGGTACGAGGAGTGCCATGTCGCAGTGGAGCGAAAATAGTCTACCTACTACACAATGTTGCGATCGACCACAACATGTATGGGATGGGATAGATACCGAGGGCTGAAGAGGAAACCGAGACGCATTTGCAGAGAAAAAAAAAAGAAAATTACCAAAATGCGCGAGTATGAAGAGCTTGATAAGCTGGCCAACAGGGGTAATGCTCACGAAAATATGTGGCGACTAATAAAAGGTTTCAAGACTAGAGCTTACTCTTGCAGAAAGAGGTTTCAGACAAGACGAGTCCCTATCGTAAGACTTTTTCAATCTGCTGCTGGAGAAAATAATTCGAGCTGCAGTACTTAATAGAGCAGGTGCAAACTTCTATAAGGTGCAGAGGCACGTGCGAAAACTTTATGGTCCTTTGCGAAATAACTATATATGGGGACACAGTCTATAGTTCTCGTAGAAATAATGAAAGCGGAGTGCCAAGGTCAATGGATATTTAGGTACCTAAGTTGTTAAAGACTTGGTGCCACCATACAAAAGATCCGGTAGAAACATTACAATGGATAATTTCTTCACAACTTTTTCACTAGTAAAATGTTTACTATCTTGGAACTTGACGATTTTTGGTACTCTGAAAAAAAAAAAAACAAAGCATACATTCCACCAGCAAAGGCTGTTTAAAAAACTCGAGAAAAATTATCCACTGTGTTTGGCTTTCATGAAAAAGTAACCCTTTGTAGCTATGTGCCAAAAAAGACAGGGTAGTAATTAAGCTATCATCAATGGATCACGAAGCAAAAATTAGTGATACTAGTTATAACTGGTCTAAAGCTGGAGTGAACGGATAAAATGCTACAATATTCTCGATATTGCCTGCCTTGCAGCATATATATATATATATACATATATATCGGATTCTGTATTATGAGAATAATAAAATGCTTCTTAAAAAATCGCATGAACGACGCATCGAAATGGGCCTCGTCAGACATGACAAGACAGTTCAACATGTTCCATCCTCTTCCACCAATTGAAGCATCTTCTGGCAAAATTCCAAGCGAATCGGCAAGTCTGCAGCGTTCAGTTTGATTTGAATTTTATATGGGAATAAGTCCAAATCTTTGTGTATGATTGGCTGTAAGGACTGTCTGCTTACACCCATTTGAGCAGATAAGCTTCTTGTCGAAACATCTGGATTGTTTTGTATGGCAGCAACTACAGCAGCGATTGTTTCCTCCGTTTGAACTGAAGGTTTTTCGATGTATTCTGTTGACTTTCCCATGCTCGGCAAAATTGTTTACAAGTTTCATAATGTCCATCTGCTCGACGGATTGTCGCCAAACATGCGCCTATACTCTCTTTGAACCGAAACTACGGACTCCAGTGCGTGATAGCGGCGGACAATCCAAATTCTT